GCTGGGGAGAGATGAGTTAACTGGCATTGAGAGAGCATCAGGGGCCAAGAGGGTCCCTCCACAGCCGCCTCACCATGCTCAGAGCCCCAGGAACACCCTCTAGCTGCTCAGCCAAGTTCCTAGACAGCTCCAGAGCCCAGCTAGGCTGCGACGGGGGCGACTGAGGCAGCTGGAGGAGGCAGCTGTAAGCAGAGCTGGTAACCAGACCTGGATGGTGCAGGGGCCTGGCTGCCAGGCCAGGTTACTCGATCTCCTCAGGGACGCCGGGCCCCGGAGCTGGAATCCTAGGATGGCCGGGCTGACAGGAGCTCCTTCTATGGAACTGGAAATGGGCATCTCGCCCCAACCTTCGCCATGGCAGAGGGAGAAATGGGCTCGGAGGCTGACCCAGGGTCACTGAGTTCCTGCCATGATACCCGGGCCCAGAGAGGGCTGGCTGGGGCCCAAGGTCATCCAGCAAGGTCACTTCACATCGAGTGAGCATGTGGACCAGGCCCTGTCCTAGTGCCTCGTATTACAGAAGGGAAACCATCTTGACTGGCCGAGGGGGAGAATCCCAGGCGTCCTCCCCGACGCGCGGGACCTTCTGTTCCTTCGATGGTCCCAGTTACTGTGCATCCGTCCCACGCGCAGCCCTTCATCCGGAGCTGGGCCGCCGCTGAGTCACCTCTGCGATGGGGCCACGAGGAAATTTAAATCTACACACGTGCGTGCGTGGTTTTCTGTTGTACGTTGGTGGTCGACACTATGTCCTTTCAACCCCATAGCAACATAAGGTTTGGACTTACATTCACCCACAGTTTATAGGTGAGGAAACGGAGACCCAGAGAGGGGAAGTGACTGTCGGAGAGCTCGAGGCTGGTGAGAGGCAGAGCCGGGATGTGAACCTAGGCCGTGCATTTCGGAGACTGGGCTGCTAACTGAGGCTCCTTGGCGGGCACTGTCGCCTGTCCGGCCCTCATTCTGGGCCTCAGTGTCCCCAACCTGCCAGCGAGAGTAGGAAGGGAAGGGCAGGGCAGGTGGGTGGGTAGATGGCCTGTCAGTAGTTAATTGGGATCCTTGGAAACTAACAGCCAGGAAGTCATCAATAGGGGGGTGCAGACAGAAGCTTCCTGTGTACACTCGGACACACAGGCATGTGCACACACACGTGTGGACCGCCCACCACTGCTGGGCACATACTTGTTCTGTGGTTGCATCCATGGGTACGTGTGAACACACAGATGCCATAACATGCGGTCGATGTGGGGGCCCATGGGCTTGCGTTGGGGGGACGCCCCACCGGCGGACGCCCATGCATGTGGAGGTGATGAGCAAAGTTGAATCAGGCCAGAGGTCCAATCTGGGTTCAATTCCTTGTGCTGACACTTAGTTCATCAACATACAACAAGCCATTATTGAGCTCCGAGGTGTGCCGGACACTGTGGGGACATGTCACCGGCCAAGATACACCCAGGCCTGTCCTCACAGGGCTCACCTCCAGGGGGCAGAAAGGCTCTGGTGAGCTATGATGTGGGTGATTAGTTCATTTGGGGGAATCTGTGCATAAGCGGATTTTCTGAGTTATTGTGCACACAGGCCTCTGGAGGTCTTGCCAAAATGCAGGCTCTGGTTGGGAGGGTCTGGGAGGGGGCACGGGACTCTGCATTCTAAGAGCTCTCAAATGAGGCTGAAGCTGCTGGCTGGAGGACCATTATTTGGAGAAGCAAAGAGTCTGGGATCTAAAGCAGTGGTTCTCAGCCTGTGGGTCGCGACCCCTTTGGCAGTCGAATGACCCTTTCACAGGGGTCGCCTAAGACCATCCTGCATATCAGATATTTACATGATGATTCATAACAGTAGCAACATTACAGTTATGAAGTAGCAACAAAAATAATTTTATGGTTGGGTCACAACATGAGGAACCGTATTTAAAGGGCCAGAAGGTTGAGAACCACTGGTCTAAAGGCTGCTTTGAGAGTCTGACACCATGTGGGGGCAGGGTTGGGACCTGGGGAGGGGTCCACGATGGTAGGGGTGGGGAGACTCTAAGGAGACAGCATTTTAGCAGAGACCTGACATAAAGAGAGAGCCTTGTGGGTATCTGAAAGAAGAGGCTTTCCGGTGTGGAGAACATCCTGTGCAAAGGCCCTGGGGCAGGACGGTGCTTGGCATGATGGAGGATCAGCGAGGCCCGTGTGGCTGAAGCAGAGTGTGCAAGGGGGAGAGAGGGAGGAGGTGAGGACGGGGAGGGGCAGATGAAGGCAGGTCATACTAGGCCCTGTGGGCCCCTGGGAGGACTTTGGCTTTTACCCGGAGGAAGGTGAGCCCTGGAGGCAGAGGTGACCACACAGCTCTGACATAGGTGCTCACACAGGCCCTCTGGTGGCTGCTGGGGGAATGGGCTGAGGGGAGCAAGGACAGGAGCCAGGGAGCCAGGGTGGATGGAGGGTACTGAACTGGTCCACATGGGAGATGCTAGGGGCTGGCCAGGGAGCAGACTGGGAAGGGGTGATGAGAGTTCTGGATAAATTAGAAGGCAGAGCCCACAGGACTTGCTGGCATTGGATGTGAGGGTGAGAGCACAGGGCAGGGGGCAGCGCAGGCTTTGGAGGGAGCTCGAGAG